AAAAAAAAAAAAAAAAAAAAAAAAAAAAAAAAAAAAAAAAAAAAAAACCTAGAACGCAGAGACTCCGATAAAGAAATGCAGAGCCAAAGATCGAATCTCACCTGTAACAATACACTCTCCCCACCGTCAATACACTTGAAAATTAATCAAAATTTCTCCCAATAAATCAGAATTAACGACAGAAGACGATGAAAGATATAGGAACAAAGTCTGCCGCATCTGATCACACGCAAACCACGAAACAACATGCTGCATGCCCCATGCGAGATCGTTCGCCTAGCGTAACGTTAGACACACAGTATATATGTAGCTTCACCCGCCGCTGACCGCGAGGTTATAGCCCACCACCACACGTGAGACACGCATACACATCGTAGTTACACATCGTCACAAACACGCGATACGTACGTGTACGTGTGAGACAGAGGCCAGCGGCAAGCCGAGTAGAGAGTTAGAGACGGTGTTTTCTGTTGTCACGATACCTAGCAGGGGTCCCGAGGCCGAGGTTGAAACAACCGTGGCTGGAGTGCGTTTTGATTTGGGCCCCGGCGTCGGCCGCGAGGGACTCAGCCTGAGAGACCCTGCCGCCGGACTGGTCGACTATTCCCACTGGCTGACAGCCCTCAGGTACATTGAAGGATGCTTACGAGGATGAGGAACGGGGCAAGAGAAAGAGACTGCTGATCGATGAACGCGAAAATGGTGGATGCGCACGATTCGCGAACTAACCCCGCTTACACCCCTGCTACTTCCCCCTATTTTTCTTTTATTCTTTCTTTCTTTTTTTCTTTCTTCCTTTCTTCTTAATCACCAATAGCAATGGCTGAGCCTGATACGACATAGAAGCGACAGAATTAGCCACAAGCAAATTCACAAAATTTTCCAAAATCTTGCAAAATGCACCAGTGCGATGATACCAGCTAGAAACCAGCTAGAAAGCAGACAGGCTGAAGAATGTTAGTTCGCTAGATTTTTTTCTCTCTCTCTCTTTTTTTTTGTGCGCATATAAGATTGGTGCTTCAGGATTCACGAGTCTTGTAGTTGCTACACACAGTATCATTATCATTGGAGGATGATAAGATCGATACACTCTAACGTGCATTTACTCACAAAGAAACGATTGCAACACTAGCTCAGAAGCAGACTCCCCACACGTGGACACTGGCCGCGAGAAAACGAACTTCCATTTGCTTTCCAGAACGGTTGTGAAATTAAGTTTTATGAATTGAGAAAGAATACGATGAATTGTGAATATCGTGAGAAGGGGACAGGGGAGGGGGATGATAAGATCAGACGACCGCGACGAATCGTTTAGAATATAGTGTCTGTTCGTCTAGGGAAGCTTCTAATACCATGGTAGCTGAAGAAGGTCTCGAAACATTGACAAGCACAGTGCTGTACAAAATATGCTTCTTTTGGGTCTAGGATGAGGGTGAATTCATAAAACTGATGATCATGGTTGTTAATTATCGGCGAAACATGTGTTACAGGGGCGAGAAACTTTATGTAACGAAGGACAAGAGATCGAGGAGCTCGTACTGGAGAAGGATGGCTTGCTGGGGATGTGGATTGTCGATCCTAGTGATTGCTGTCATCATTGCCATTTTGGCCGGAAGTAAGGATCTTTTAAAGCGCGCAGTTTCTTCAGTAACTGAATTTTATTAATTTATTTATCTTCAAACGTACTTTAAATTTACAAATTTTTTTTGCGAAAATGGTACGATAAAATAGTGGTTTGATAGTCAACGATTATACGCTCAAAAATAGCACGACTTTACGGTATAATATTAATATCGATTAAGAGATATTATAAAAAATAAAATTTAATTCTTTTCTTGATCTATTATGTATTAACGTGTAATTATAATTTATCAAATCTATCAAAAATCTAAAATCTTCGTCCCTCCCTCAAAAAAAAAAAAAAAAAAAACATAAAGAACGAATTAAAAAAAATAACTAACACGAACGATTGATTCTGTCCTAGCTGGAGTAATCTTAACGCAAGAGGCATCTGAACCTCTGGAAAATCTTCAACAAACCAATTCCCGGCAATTCAGCGACGTGCGAACCGCAGGTAGTCAAGAATATATGAAAAACCCTCCATCGAGTCCACCACCTGCAATATCAAGCTCCCCACCCTGGCCAACAACCGACGAAACCATCTACGACAACGTGCCAAGCGCCTTGGATGGTGTGTTAAAACTAGACGATTTGCACTGGAACGACGAACTCGGCGATCCTAAGTCGAGGGTGTACAGAGAAGTTAGCTCGGAGATAGAGGAACATTTAAAGAATATATTGCAACAGCCGGCGGACAACGATACAGTCGTCAAGGTGTACGACATAAACAGGGACGGTGAAGTGAGGTTTAGGATAAGCTATCCACCACGTTCGATGCCCGAAGAAATGCAGCAGATGATCGAAGCAACGCTGCAGAAAAGTGGCAACACGGTTGGACAGTATCATCTGAGTAGTTTAAGAGTGAACAAATTGGTTGATGAGTGTCGGAGTGGAAATCTTGGGTGTGCGGAAAAGTGTACGTACGATTATTCGAAAGGTCTGTTCATTTGCTCTTGTGGAGCTGGAAAGATGTTGGACAGTGACGAGAAGAGTTGTATCGACGAGAATGATTTGAGCAACGTCGAAATGGATGACGAAGTATCAGTGTCTAATACGGATTATGTCCAGGGAAGGAGTAGAGGACCTGGTACGATATTCGAACCTAGGAGACCTGATAATTGGGATCATTTGGACTTCAGTACGGAAGCAACGCACGATGGACATGTTTCACCACAAGTTGACGAACACGAGTTGCACGTGCGTCCACATGATTCGTTGCCGGAAATGAAACCTACACAGACGACTACGATGGAACAGAATCGTGAGTTCAATGGGGAATCTGATTCAAGACATTGGATGCATCATTCGGAGCATAATTACTCAATTCATGATCATTCGTCACATGATCACTTAACTCATGATCATTCGTCACATGATCACTCCACTCATGACCATTCAACACACGATCGTTCGAATCATGATCATTCAACACATGATCATTCGACGTATGATCATTCAGAGCATGATTATTCGATGCACGATTATTTAGATCATTACACTACCGAATCAAAAGATAAATCTGAATCTTTTGCGGGACCAGAACCATCTGTTGAGCCTGAACCATCTGCTGAACCTAAACCTTCTGCGGAACCAGAACCATCTGCTGAACTTGAACCTTCTGCTGAACCCGAACCTTCTGCTGAACCTGAACCTTCTGCGGAACCCGAACCTTCTGCGGAACCCGAACCTTCTGCGGAACCAGAGCCATCTGCTGAGCCTGAACCTTCCGCAGAACCAGTGTCTTCTATTGAATCTGAATCTTCTGCTAAGTTAGAACCTGCTACTGACTCAGAATCATCTGTCGAGTCAAAACCTATTACTGAAGTAGAATCTTCTGTTGAACCAGAATCTTCGGCTGAATCCAAGCCTTTTGCTGAACTGGAACCTTCAGCTGAACCAAAATCTCCGACTGAATTAGGACTGAATAATGCCGAATCTTCCACAGAAACTATGACTAGTACTGAGCCAGTTGCTTCTGCTGAACCACAGCCTACCGAATCAGATGAACCGAAAACCACCGCTGAACCCGAGCCATCAAATGAACCTGCTTCAGTTACTGAACCAAACCCCAGCGGTGACTTTGAATCTTCACTGAAATCGACATTAGTACCCGGGGAAATAGAAACTGCTACAGAACGTGAATTACCAACTTCATCAGTCAGAGAACTCGAATTTTCCACTGATGAAAAGCCCCCTCAAAATACGCCTGCTATCATTGAGCATCCTACCGAAGCGCAAAACACAATGATGCCAAAGGATTCAGCAGAAGAAGCTCTAGAAGCTCTCGAAGATTCTACAGAAGCCATGACTATGAATAAAATATCTGAGGGTACAGTTACCGAATTATCTGCCACTGAATTACCCAGCGTTATAAAAGAAACAGATTCCTCAGTGAATTCCTTTGCAACTAATGTTCCTACAGATAAAAAATCAGAAACCACAACACCAATGATTCTCGAAGAAACCACGTTGCTGAACAATGAAAAACTTCCAGACGATGTAGCCTTGCCAGTGATACCGTTGATGTCTGATACTGAAGATGCTGTAATGACAAGTCATTCGTCTTCCGAAGATCTTTCAGAATCAACAATTGGCACAACGATGATGGAAAATGATAACGAAGACAAAACGACAACGATGAGTTCTAACGAAACGCCAAAAGTTGAACAAGTTACTGAGAGCAACATGGCACAGGATGAAGCAGTTAAAACTACTACAATGAACATAAATAACGAGGAGTTTGGAATCATGAACTCTTCATCAGAATCTAACTCTACCTCTCTGTCTAGCACCCAATCTTCAATTTCTGATGAATCCACTGTGATCCCTGAAACGACTACTCTTGTAGCAGATACTAAATCAGAACACACTACTGAAATGAATACTGTTGTAGAAAATAATACAGAAGCAAGCAACGAAGAATCTAAATCACAGAATGTCCCAAGTTCTGTATTATCTGACGACTCTTCAATTGTGCAGCCAGAGTCACGCGTGCACGAGACCAACGAGACCAACGTTATCGAGCACATGCCAACCACTGTTTTCCCCAAATTACCAAAGAATTTCGGTCACAACGTCGAACCGTTGATAGAGCCTCTTAAAAACAATACAGAAGAGGAGCATATTATGCTGATATCAAAACCTGAAGACATGTCAGAAGTGTATGATCCACATGCAATTATTCCTCAATTAATTCCCGAACAAAGGGTTCAGTCGTCCAATGTATCAGCGACCGGTGTTCCTGAAGGTTTAGCCGTAGAAAGTAAAGTTCGATCTTCCACGGAAGTAGTTCAAACAGTTTTGCATCGTTCGACGATCCATCCGGAAGAGAACGTAGTTTCTGCAGGCGATTCCGTCCGCTCCGAAGACAATTTAGATCATTCGACCAACCATCCATTGCATCCGGCAGTATTTCCTGAGAATTCGGTGGAACACGCTACGGAGAAGTTCGACTCAACTTATGACAAACACGCAGACGACATGTCTCCCTTCTTGCCGGACATTCAAAAGGAAAAGGAAGTGAAGAAAGCTCCCAGATTGGACAAAGACGAGCAGGATGCGCCGAATCCTTTCGAAGGGCACGTTGAAGATGTCGTTACTTATAAATCCCCGGTAGAAGTGTCTTCCAAGAAGCCAAATGCGAACGAGACTGACTCGAAAGATTCTCTGAACGATGTGAAAAACTCCGGTGATAAAGAAGAGGAAAAGAATGAAGTTGGTCGTGGATTTAAGAATGATGGGCTGGAGGTTGTTGAAGTTAATAGTACAGAGACTGGGATTCACAATGGACTGCATAACTATGATATGAGTAGGGATATTGTTAAGAATGTTGCACAGGATATTGCAAACGAAAAGGAAAATAGAGAAAGTTCCGAGGAAGACGAAGAGGCGTTGAAAGTGGTTCCATTGGAAGAACAATTTAAAAAAACCGAAACTACTGTGAATAATGCGGATAAGAATAAATCAGAAACGACAACAGAGTCTGACGCAGTTAGCACAACTCCGACGAAAGGAGACGAAAAACAATCGGAAGATTCTATGAACAATGTTACTACTTCGGAGAAAGCCGAAGAAAACGCTGTGCAAGATCACTATAATGATATAACCGATGACACTTTGCCCAAGGGATATCAGCAGGATGATTCAGAGATACGAAAGAAAATCAAGGATGTATCGAAAAAGTTCATAGATAAAGGTGAGAAATTGTTCAAGATAATTGATAAAATGAATGCCACGGCGAATGACACTGAAGATACAATGACCACAATCGCAAGCGTCGTGGACAAGCATGCAGAGGATGCGAAATTAACCACGCAAATACCGGTATTACCATTGGAGATACAGCAAGAAATGTCCACGACTGAGAAAATCGAAAGTACGACTGTAACTGAGGAGAATCTTCGGAAAGACAATAACACAGACGGTCAGAATAGTGCTCGTGTTAGTACAGATGATACCACGACAGTTCAAATACCGACGACTCACACGATGTTAATGGAGACGAAGACCACTGCTCAGGTGCCAATACTGCCAGAAGAACTGCAAACTACTGAAAGTGATGTGTTACTGACCACCTCCACAGTGAAACCAGATGCTGAAGTGAAAAATAGCAATTCCGAGAATGTACGTTCTGACGAGCAGAAAGTTTCTCCGAGCACTACTGTCGATGGCGTGAATAATAATTCAACCGAAGACTTGTTAACTAACGCAGGACAACAAGTAAACATACAGAATAAAACTATCGACGATTTGGTGACTAGTGCAGTTGAACATGTAGGTAACAAAAGTATTGATAACACTTGGCTACGACCAAATGTTTCAGTGCTGGACAATGCAAACGAGAAAAACGTCACTAGAATGAAAATCGAAGGAAACGAGATGCAAAGAAACGTAACAGAGAGTTCGACGCCTGAAGCTGTTCCTTCAATTTCCAATGAAACTGTGACTACAACAGAATCACATAAACAGATGTCTGAGAGTTCCAGCACTACAGAAGACATTAGACCAGTTACTGAAATATTAGAAGATGATCCTGAGCCTATAGGATTCGATTACAGAACGCATCTTGTCAGCACTACACCTAAGACTGTGCTGTCTGACTTAGATGTAGGAGAATTATCAGAAGAGGACTTAAAAGTGATCCCATTGGAGAAGAGTTTAGAAGTGAAAAAGAAATCAGTAGACAAGAAGATCATTGACAAGTACAGGTATAAGAAGGAGAAGGAATTGAGCTTAGAAGATGAGGATGAGAATACAGTAACAGAGATTCCAGAACCGGCTACGGTCTCCACTGAAATACCACAGATGGTTACTGAAAACGATAACGTTCAAGACGAAAACCAGAATGAAACAAATATAAACATCAATGTGGAAGGAAATTCTGCCCCTGTTTCACGGCTGAAAATCATCGAAACGACCACCGGGTCGAACCAAACAAAAGTTCAAACCTCCGAGACCTCTTCCAACGAAAAAGAGAGTCTTAATGACAAAATCAGCATAACGGTTCCAGACAGTTCGAAGAAATATCCTAGCTTCATACCAGTTTCAGAAAAGATCATAGAACCAGAACCTGTCACAGAACCCTTCATCGTTCTTCGAAACTACCATCTCCATCAGCCAGGCGTCGATTTTACGACAGAAAAGCCAATGGTTAGCGTACAGCCACGCAACGAAGGTCATATAGAAATGGAACCGGGACAAGTGATTGAACTAGATGGAAAATTGAATCAGACAGGCTTACAGCCTTCGGTGTTTCCTTTCATTCAATCGTCCATAGCCTCGATTGCGCAGGAAGCAAATCACGTTGAGAAACAGAGCACTGATACGACTGTTCCACCGTCCACGCAAACTAAATTACCGAACGCGGTGGTGGAGAGCACCAGCCATATCGATGTTTCTTTCCTCGATCTGCCTCCAAATAGTATTTTCTCGAAATGTACAGCTGGCCAGTTCCAGTGTGTTAATGGAACGTCCAGGGACGGTGCATACTGCGTAAGGCTATCGGCGAAATGCGACTCCGAAAATGATTGTTCGGACGGTTCGGACGAATTGAATTGCGAAGAGGAAGGTTGTCCAGGAAATTTCCAATGTTCCAGCGGTCAGTGTCTAAAGCGGGACCTGGTGTGCAATAAAATCGTCGACTGTGACGATGGAAGCGATGAAAAGAATTGCGAGGAATGGAGGTGTCAGTTCGATGAATTTAAATGTCCCAGTGGTGAGTTCTTAAGATACATTCTCTTAAATTTTGTTATTCATTAATACTTATTATAATTAGTAGAATGGAGGCTGCATAGAAATTTATACCACGCACTAAATATTATACCTATTGTCAGCAATTATACTTTGGATATTTTGTATATTTTTGCATTGCGGGCATTTTGAATATTTTTAAACTTTTATATTTTCTACAGACGTATAAATTATATATTCGTAGTTTGTAAATACCGATACGTTATTTAGTACTTTATACAATAAATCAAAGTATAATGTAAGTGAAATAAGATTTGTAATAAAATCGAGCTATTCGAAAAATTTGTAGCAGTCAATAGTTTAAGAAAGATATAATCGAAATGAAATACAAAGAAATTGATGTAGCCAAGATAATATTGGATTTCATAAAAAAAAAAAAAAACGGGGAAATAGGAAACAACGTATAAATTGCTACAAACAATGCTCATTATTTAATAGAATATTAAATTTTTCAAATAATCTAACAACTAGAAATGAAAAGCTCAAGCTATACTAATATGTATCCTCATGGACAGTGGTATATTTATGTGAAGGATCATCAGACATGCAAATTAAAACGACAATTATCGATGGAAAAACTTGACATAATATCGGTTTAATGAGTTCTCATTTAATATTCAACACGTAGACTAAGATTTCGTAACGAAACGAAGACTATTTTAATAACATCAAACGAGATGTTTCCTTTCTAGCATGGGTTATCGGTGTCACTAGCTATCGTTTGAGCAAATTGCTTCATCTTTTAGTCTATTTCACGTTACCGGATGTCTCTTAAAATCGTCTGTAAAGCTTCGTCTGTAATTAATCATGACTATTTGTCTTATCTATTAAACTAGCAACCTACTTAATTAGTTTCACAAGTATCGTGTTTACTCTGAGATATATTTTAACACAAACGATAAATTAAACTAGGATCGAATTTAAACTAAACTAGATCTTGTTATCTTTGAGTCACTTTTAAAACATAGAATTTAAACAAAATTTATTCACAGAGATAGATACAATAAAACGAATTCTTTGTAATAATTCTTAATTCAAGGAATAGCAAATCTAAAGATCGAAGATTAAAACTCTTCATTTAAACTCTTCCAAAATTAATTCATTCATTTCCTTTTCTTTAAAAACCGAAATTTGAGAAATTCACGAAATAAATATATAACAAAGAGACGAGTTCCTCCAATTTATTTGATAATTATTTCTAATTTTAGGAAGGTGTATTCCGGGCATCTGGCAATGTGACAGTCGTCCAGACTGCGAAGATCACCGAGACGAGTACAACTGTGCCGAAAGTTGTGGAAACGACGAATACCTTTGTCCAACGGAGAAATGGTGCATACCGTTAACGTGGCATTGCAATGGAATCAACGAATGTGCCAATGGGGAAGACGAAAAATTATGCGACTGTGGTCTTGATCAATTCAAGTGTCAAACAGGCGGATGCATACCGAAAAATCAGGTATGCGATGGAATAGAACATTGTCCTGATCATTCTGACGAATGGGGCTGTTTAATGGCGAACGTGACTATGGACAAGACATCGTTGGATGGACAGGAAGATGACATTGAAAATAGTGGTGTTCAAAGATTTGGAGAAAGTTCCTTGTTAAAAATAAGGTACGTATAAAACGTCGAAATTAAAATTAGATTAAAAACTGAAGAATTAATTTTTTCAATATTTTAAATTCAATAAATAATTCTTCTAATTTCATAAAAATATTCTGATTACAATATTCTTAAATAAATCTTATTTAAGACTTGCAGCTTAATTTGTTAGATTTTAAGGAAGTTACAATATCTTTTTGCTATTTTAAGCGTTGGAAAAAGCCCTATCACTTTCTTTCGTCAAATTTCAGACAAGTTCATTTACAAAGTACGTCCATTCTTATCCAAAAGCAATCTGTTAACCTATTTCTTAATATCCCGCTATCGACAAATAAAACAAGTCGATAAAATCTATTTAAAAAATTTTATTTCAAGACTTAATTCTACAAATCTAAATTTAATCAAGAATTTTCAACTGCTTTGTCCATCTATTCTCTGTATTGGTTCAACTTAAGAAAAAAAAAAAAAACATTATTATTAAGTAAATTAAATGAACAGAACAATGAATTAAATGGAACACACTGTATCATTTTCAGACAATACAACGGCGAGTATCGTCTTGTGTGCTCCGACGGATGGAGTGAAGAATTTAGCAACTCTTATTGCCAGTCTCTAGGATTCGCTGGTTCTGAGAGCACAGAATTCCAGAGATGGAACAAAACCCAGAAGATACTCAGATTAAAGTCAAATCCGAGTCACCGTGCACCGTTGGTGACGAATTTGGAACAAAAGGAGCTCTGTGTCTCCGAGAAGGTCGTGCAAGTCTCTTGCCAAGAATTTTCTTGCGGTTCTGACTATGGCGAAGGACCAACTGCCAGATTGGTTGGTGGAACTCCAGCCAGCGAAGGACAATGGTCCAGCGTGGCTTTGCTAAAGGAACCTAAACACGGTGCTGCTTGCACGGCGAGTATATTGGGACCTATGCACGTGCTTGCTAGTTATTCCTGTACTCATAGGTAAGTGCAGATCTAGTGTATCAAGCAATAATTCACTCTATAAGTTTTATAAAATCTAAATGGAAAACAATGAAGAGGAAATAATGAATGAATCCTTGAAACTTTCTTTTATAGCCGTAATATTAAAGAATAGAATTATAATAGAAATTAATTGATCAGCCCGTTAAAGGAATCACAATAAAAAAGAAATCGCCTGTCTCTTTATTCTGAAAATTATGGAAATAGTAATGTCTTTCCGAATAATTGAATGTGATTCTCTTTCTAGTTCTTATTGTAATCTTCTGCAGCCTCTGAAGATTTTGAAAATTTGATAAAAAGTCAAAGTCGATCGACTAGATTGTCAATTCGAAATCAAATCTCGAAGAAAGTTTAATTAATAAAAGATATATTTTTCATTTTGTTTAGATATAAGCAAAGCAATGGATGGCAGCTTTTTACCGGTGAAAACTTATTAAAAGCACATCCCGTGAAGAACATCATTCCCTATCCACAAGTGAAATATAATCAATTTTTATACAACAATGACATCGTGTTGGTGGAGCTCGAGAAGCCTTTGACTTTCTCAAGGAATGTTAGCGCAGTCTGTCTTCCGAAACACCCTATTCAGGTTTGTATTATGAATATTTAAAAATATATGAAAATGAAAACAGATGAAGAACTATTAAAAATATACATACATATATGTATATATATATATATATATATTTTTTTTTTAATGAATTTTAGCCAAGACAAATATGCGTCATGGCAGGATGGGGATTCTCTGTGAATGGCGAAGTAGACTTACAAAAATATTTGAATTTCCTACCATTGCCAACGTTGGATTCTGAGAAGTGTAATGCAACCAGTCATTACGCAGGATTTATTACAAAGGATAATATATGTGCTGGATTCACCGATACGAATAAGGGACCTTGCTACGTAAGATTTTTAATTTTCTCATATTAACAAAAAGAGAATAAAATATTCGTTAGAACTTTGAATAATGAAACGTCTCATTATACGATTAAATACTCAATCTAAAATAGAAAATTTATAGTATATGAAATTTCAACTAGACCAGAGATCCGTGCACGTTACACTTTTAACTTCTAACCCTCTCTCTTAACAAAAGGAACAATTAATTTCTCCTGTTTCCTTTTTCTTTCAGAACGACGAAGGAGCACCTCTAATGTGTGGAACCGGAGGAGGATCGGTCAGATGGGAAATTCAAGGACTGCTCAGTCATCACAGCAGATGCTCGAGAGGTCATCCGGCAATTTATTCTAGCGTGGAACCAGCGTTATCTTGGTTACGAAACTCCGTGCCCGCTTTGCAAACGCAAAGTTAAAGTGCTAATAAACGTGGTTCCGTTCTTTTCACGAGGATACGCGAGAATTAGATGAATTTTAACTCGATTTAATATTCGAATCGACCACAACGATATACCGGAACGAACGAAGAAACGAAATAACAAAAATTTTCACCGGAAGGGAACTGTCAGATTGAACGTTGAAGTTCCTGTTGAAATTCATAAGACATGAAAACTACGTACTTAATTTATATTCGTCTGTATCTTTCAAACGATATGTTCCTATTTAAATGCAAAGAACGTGTTTGACGGATAATAACGCGATCGCGGCCATAATTCGTTCTGCATGATGAAAATATATTTCGAATCGTAAACAAGTTTTTTCCCTCCTGTCTCTATGCCAACGATGCCAATTAATGGATATTGCAATACTGATGAGTTTTTGCGCTCGTAAAAAATAATGACGCAGATACATATACATAATTGGCGATACACGATATTTACAATTAAGAAGTTTGTAAATACTGTATAAAGCGACTGTTTAATATGCTTAACATTGTAAGAGATTTTTTTTTTTTACAAGTTTAGCGAATTAGGTCTCTTAAGAATATTCTATGAGTATGAAAAGACGTGAAATGTTTAACACACTCGTTTACTCTGCTGAATACCCGACAGGTTTCATGTGACAACTATGCTGACATACACTTTACAGTCTACTATGTCAGAGAAATATTAATAAAGGGTGTAGTGTTACTGATTAGTAACTGATTAGTATTGTCCGCATGAATCGTTTAAATTCATTTTCTATCTGAGCAAACTAACTAAAGCAATATGAAAATATTTATTGGAAAGGAGAGACCATCAAATAGATACACCCAATTATTCAATCAACAGTTTGTCTCAGAGATCCTATAAAAGGATTCCTGAAATGAATGATAAAGTAGATTTTAAGATATAGATAGGATAAATGTATATAATATATAAGTATTTTAATGAAATACATTGTTACGAAAAGACACAATAATAAAATCTGTTTATGTATGCATAGTCACTGATGAATGCGTAAGTATTTTTATACGCTAAGATAAAAAATAAATGTATTTTAAATGAATACAAAGTTGTTTCATTTTAAATATAAATAACTTTATTCATGAAGTAATAAATAATTATTTTTTTGTAAATATGTTATTTGTATGTTATACAATAAATCCTTAATCTAATTGTTTTTTCGGTATTGCTGCAATTTCAACTGCTGTCACAACGGCATCTATAGTGATTAATGATTTAGAGATACTAGTTATCACTTCATTGTATTTGGAAAAAACTTCATTTATACGGCTGTTTAATGCTTGAGAATCCTCATATAACTTAAGATATGATAGATTCAGATCATTGAGTTTATTTATCAATTCTGGAACATTTTTTAAGTGATCAGTTTCTAAGGCAGGCATTAGTTCTTGCATCTGTTTCAACAATTCGTGATTCTGCTTAATTTCTGGTGCCATTGCTAGTAACAATTGAACTTTAGCCTCTATAGGTATTTCCGAACTTTCAATCATTGGATCTAGATAATTATTTAATTCTGGTAATCGTTTTATCATTAGATTTGCTTTCTCTCGTCCTGACATTGCAGATGAGATTAGCGTATTTACATGTAAAATATTATCAACTATAGGATTCTCTAATGAAGTATCATTAGTTTCATCTTTCTTTGCAAGTCCATATATTTGCTTTTCCAATTCAGCAATCCTATTCTCAAGCAATTCAATCGTCGCCATTCTAACTGTTAAGAAGAAGATCATCATGGAATTTATTTCCATCAATGAATTACTTATTACATTAGGTTAATTAATGTGCTTCACATGAATGAGATTTTTAAAATAACACTTATCTCCATTAATGTATCAATATGTTTTTTATAGAATGAAATTTAAGTTTGTATTCATAACTATTTTCACTGTATTATTAACTACAATAATCACTATATGACCAATAATTAAATCAAATATTGTTTTAAATACAACTAATTTTAAAAAATTTGCAATAGGTACTATAATTTTACAAAACACTTACCTGTAAAATTTAAAAATTTAAGAACTCCGAAAATATAATCTCAACTTTTTATATAACAAACTTGTATAAATAACAATTCACATGTATGAATTAAGACACAAATTTTGACAGACGAAATTAGGTTATAGTACGCGACTAGTAGATCTGAAGTGATACGATTAGTCTCGTTCGTATCGCAACTCACTTCAAACTGTTTGAAAAAAGGCGCGAAGCCGAATATATCAATAATTTTGAATTTTTACATACTCAAAACTTATTAACCTTAACAACCTTCATAGTAACAATGTTTAAACAGTGTAAACGATTATAAATATATACCAGAACTGTCATAAAGACGCCCAATTATATACAGGATTCTCAAATTAATGTATAAGATGTCCAAATTAATGTATCGTTGTTAAATTAATGTATTTATTTCCTTGAAATTAATTTAAATAAAAATATTACGTATCTGACATGTAAAGGATAAAATGAAATATTTGAATTCTTTTCGTAAAAAGCAAAGACTCACAAGAGAATAACAACAGTAATGATTATCGTCTTTGAAAATGACCGTTTATTACGCAGCTGCGAAACTTACCCGAAACTCTCGCAAAAAGACAAAAGACTGCTTTAAATAGACGCACAGTGGTAAAGTGCGTAAGTAGGCAGTTGCAACCGTATACACTCGGTGGGTTCACACTTTTAAATAAACTCTCGATCTCCCCTCTTCACTTAACAAGAGAAACAGTTACAGACGAATACCAGACAATGTCCGTAAGAGAACCGCGGCGAGCGACGACTGTACGATAGAGGCGCGTGGTAGGGATACGGAGTATCTGTCATGGCCGACGTTCACTGGAAGAGTAGTTTTGGTCAGACCGCATTGGTGAGCGGTACGCGGTGTCTTTAGTGGTGAAAAAAAACATGGGGCGCGATAATGGGCAGACGGTCAAGCGAAGAAGGCGTTAGCGAACTCTCGGTCCTGGTAGAGGACGATTTATGCGAGAGGTCCGCGACGATGGAGTCACGAGCACGGAGGACTCGGTTACGTAGCGTTGTAGGGATATGTTTGTTTCTCGCGCTCACGGGCATCATTTATCTCGGCTACTTCTGTCCCGATCACGTATGCGCTCTGACGAGCCGCGAGATCAAGGAGTCCGTGAGATTGTCCGAGGGTCTATCTGCTGGTCCCGGGTCCGGTTTGTCTTCCGTCTCCGTCGAATTCGACAAAAATGGCCTGCTCTCGGTACATCCTGCTTTTAGATTGCATAGTATTCAAGGGAGCCTTGGTTACGACGACGTGTTTACCAACGATACCTTCCAGTTTGACATCAATGGTCACGATGTCATCGTTTTCTTGCACATTCAGAAGACTGGTAAGTGGTGTTGTTTAATTCTTTGTATTTTTCCATACTCGTTATTGAACCTAATTTATGGAAAATATGTATGTAATTGAACTCTTTACAAAAATAAAATTTTCATATAATGTTTATAAGTATTTATGATTAAGTATTTATTTCTTTCTTCTGTCATGACATAAATTTCTTTTTCCATGACAGTTACGTTTATTTATGTGTTTTTAATAATAAAAAAAGAAATGTATTTTTGATTGATTTTTTACTTTGATTTCTTTGGGTTAATGCCAACCAATCCTATGGCTCAATAAAAACAATGCAACATCCCTTTTGACCATTGTACAATTGAATCTTTGCATTATTCATTAGGTACTGTGAAACCTTCAAGCTCTATCTTAGAAGGAGAAAGAACAATTCAGGGATGTTACCTTGTTTAATATTCTATGCATGCATATCTGTTTCCTTTTTATTTCCCGTGTACATGCATGCTTCTTGTAGCTTTTCTTCACAAGCTTAATATATAACAATAAGATACATATCCTAAATATTTGTTGAATAATGCTATAATAGTAAAATAATAAATATTTTTAATAATACTAAAAAATTTTTAAAAATAAGATTTTTAATAAATATTTAAAAATTATATTTGTATATTTTTTTATGTTACAGGAGGTACATTATTTGGAAAACATTTAGTTAGAGATTTAGATCTGCAAAGACCATGTTCTTGTCAAAGAAGACGTAAGCGTTGTTTTTGTTTCCGTCCAAATCGCAATGAAAATTGGCTTTTTTCACGTTATTCCACTGGCTGGAAGTGTGGTTTACATGCTGACTGGACAGAATTGACTAGCTGTGTTGATACTGAGTTGAATAAAATTGAAGGGGATGGCATAAAGCGTAGATACTTTTACATAACTATAATAAGAGATCCTGTTGCACGGTATTTATCTGAATTTAGACATGTACAAAGAGGTGCAACATGGAGAGGAGCTCGTCATTGGTGTGGTGGCATCCAGGCAAATATACCACAGTGTTACCCTGGATCGAGTTGGCAAGGAGTATCTTTAGAACAGGTAATATTATATTATTAATTTTAATGATATTTGGTAATTTGGAAGCATCTTTGTATATTAGTATTCTCATAAATTCATAACAGTGATTTCTTTCATAAATAAAGTATTAAGTATGTTATCAGAAAGGTTTTCACATTTAGAAGCAGATTAAGATAAAGTATTTTTTCTTATCTCCAGTCTTTATTTTCTCTTTCTCTGAATAGATACAATTTTTTCTCCTTCTATAGATACATTTCCTACTATGAAATTGCTTCATTAACAAATTTTGAAACATAAAAATTTGTTTATATTAATATGTATGAATAATATCAAATATGAAAAAATTATGCAATAATTTAAAAATATTCTATTTAAAAGTTTGAAGTTCTCTTGACAAACAATGTTATTATTTATGTAGTTCATGGCGTGTCCATATAATTTGGCAAGCAACCGTCAAACAAGAATGTTGGCTGATCTATCAATTGTTGGTTGTTACAATTCTACACTCAGCAGCTTGGAGAGAGATCGTCTCATGTTGGCTAGTGCTAAGCACAATTTGCAATTCATGCCTTTCTTCATGTTGACTGAATACCAGAAAGTAAGAACCAATTTTTTTTGTTGATAATTAAATGCACGTTTATATATTGTCCATATATTTACATGTACTTGTATTGTTTGTTATTGTAGTAATCTTCATTATTGTTAAAAATTGTTTTTAATATTATTTATTATTTTTCTATGTAGTGTTGATTTGTTTAAATCTCTAAAATATTAATATTAATTTTATGTGCTTCATTTGTAAATTATTTAAATGTTGCAAAAAATTATTTGGCTTTAAAATTGCTCGAACCGTGTGTACATAATATTTTATGTTGTACCAAAGAATCATCTGTTCGAAAGTAGCTCGTAATGTAAATATTTGTCCTACTCACCATACATAGACGATGAATATACTTGTAAACACATCACATTTTTAATATTTTGATTTTTAAAAACTTTTTTCTTGTTTAAAATGCATGGAAATTATATTTGTATATCATTATTTTTCAATATATTTAACATATGCATAATACTTAATAAATATATTAAATACATTTTAAAAATACTGAGAATCGACTTAATATGAAAAACATAAAACGAAGTGATTATGTAAGTCCTGCTTTATATAAGTCATTATTTTTTTTTAGCACTGTTTGTTCTGTCAAATTGATTTTTTTGCTAATTATAGCTTATAAATTACCGCATTATTCAGAATATTGCATGTGTAAAAAAACTAATATGCTTGTTATCAGAATATATTAAAATTGTTTCGTATTTCTTCGCTTATTACCTCATTACCTAATAAAGAAAATTATACGTAAATTGTTGTCATTTATAAAGAATAATTTCTAAATTAAAAATACATTTAAAAAAAGATAGACAAAGAGAAGTTAAGAACTAAAAATGGAAATTAAAGTTTTTTTTCGATAATTTTTGAACTTTAAACTATATGAACATATATGTATTATTAGACATTATCTTTGAAAGAAACTTTTTTTAAATTCGCTAAAAAAAATGTTTTAATCTGCATTATCGACTTGCTTTTATATATGAAGTTTAAATTTTCAATTTTCGCGCGAAATTTCGTATCATAACGTTTATTTATATAATTCGTTGCTTGCATTTTATGCATTTAGTTGCGTGCGTAAACGTTACAAAATTAATTTAAAAATCGAATAGGTGGGACAATATTCCTTCGAAGAAACATTTGGAATGAGATTTGCCGTTGCGTTTGAACAACATAATGCGACGTTGAGCGCTGCGACAATGGCTACCCTAAGCGCGGAACAGTTAGACGCTGTACGTAGATTAAACAGACTGGATTTGGAATTATATGATTTTGCAAAGAATCTTGCATTCCAAAGGTTCAAACGGCTTAGGGATCGCGACCCGTACTTCGTGCAACGATTTCAACACCTTGGGGAATTACCTTCTAGACAAAGCGCAACGGAATTTAATTGGGATTCTGTCATAGAAGATACTACAGATGTTGAATGATATGTAAGTATGTTATTGATAGATAATATCGATGCTTTGCATTCATAGCTGGGCGAAAAAAAATGTTGCTCTGAATCTGAGTATCTCAGGGAATCATCCTTGAAAGAAAAAAAAAAGTTTTACATATAATTATGACATGCTGGCAGTTGTCTTGCGTGAAACTTACCAAAAGTGTTTATAGTAAATAATGTGGATAAGACCAAAGAGAGCTCAGAGAGAGAGGATCTTGGAATAGTCTTGAAATCCTCTTTCAATAGCTATATATGAAAAAAGAAAATTATATAATCACAAATTTTTTTATGATTTTTACAATGTTCGTAAACTGTTTTAAGCAGTTCTTCCATTTAATGCAATTTTTGTTTAGAATACATCACATTTAAGGTTAATCTCTGTTAACATTTTTGCTTCGTATAGATAAGATAAAAATTTACAAACAAATTTTTTTAATGTGTATTACAAAGTCAATTCTAGGGAAGAAATACTATAATTATTTCTTGAATGCATACTTACATGAAAAATCTAACAAATATAAGAAGAAATGTCAACATGTTCTGCAAAAATATAAATGTCTAGTATTTCATATGATACTCAATATTTTAGACGTATTTGTTTTAGTATTTTTTCAAACGTGATAAAAATTAATTCTTTAATTTACTAATTAAAATTACTAATATGAATTATGATACATATTACTTTATTTTTTCATTTCTACGATTATATATCATAATAATATATTCATGTTTATAAATATATAAATAAGAATTCATAATTAAAAAAGTAAATTTACTTTTGATATGTCGTATATGCTGCAAATTTTTCAATAGCATTTTTAACTATTATCCTATTGCAAATTAAAAGTATCATTTAAGAAATAGTAATTATAGCGGCTTCTGTTTAGAAAGAATTTAAATGCGAAATGAAATATTTCTTGTTTTAAAATTATATGTATTACAAATTAGATTGCAATCTATATTCCTAATTAACACATGAAAGAGATAATAAAAGTGACGTAATATACAGCATATATAAAAATCCCTATTTATAGTGGTTTTCAATGGAAGGATAAATATTACAAATTACTTTTGTAAATATGTCTAAAAGTCTATATTTTTTAATAGAATCATTTGCAGTGTTATTTGAATGAAGTGGTATTAGGTTTAATAAAGACGATCTATATAGTTTAAGTGATAAAATGTTCATGTGAATGTTAGAATGAATGGTTATTGAATAAACGTGTAATATTAGATGCTGATTATTTAACAATTTAACTGCTCACAAAGGTCATGTTTTAGTACACATTCTTTTCGATAAAATTTTTTTGTTTCATTTCATTATTTACATGCAAATATTGAAAGTATCAATCAATTTTTTTAAAATTAGCAGGCATTGAATTACAAAATTAAATAGATTAGATTGAAAACATCATAATGTGTTAGAATCACATGTGCAATAAAACTCAGTGGGTTACCATTATAAATATTTCGTATCATCCAGTCATCAAATAAATGTAATATATCCTACATATATTTA